TCGAGATGAGAAAAACCGCACCGCACCGCACCGCACCGCACCGCACCGCACCGCACCGCACCGCACCGCACCGTCAAATATCGACATGACAAAACCGCACCGCACCGCACCGTCATATTTCGAGATGAAAAAAACGCACCGCACCGCACCGAAAGGATTCACAAATAACCGTAGTTGCGGTTTTATTACGGTGCGGTTTGCCCCACCCCGTCCCCCGTCCCCGGTGTTTGCCATCGGGGTTGGGTTTTCGTCGTTTGGCACCGACGTTGTAAAACAAGCCAATTCACTTCGTGAGCTCGGCAACCAGGTTCCGTTGTTTTTTTTTACCTCTGGTTTTTTTTTTGCGGTAACCATAATGGTGGTCGAGTAGGTCATGTTGTGCGGGGTCGAGAACCCTCACTCCGTGCAAGGGGGATGATCGCACCACGTTGTGTTAAAACGGTCAAGCATCCTCGAGGCAGTTACACAGTGCTCATAACTGTCTCAGGAAGTGAAAGCACCAGAAAGTAAATTAAGTCATACGCAGCTGTCATCCGTACGCAAGGAAGTAAGCACAAGATGCCGAATACCCTTAGCAGGATGCAGCGCACGCTTCACGCGACTCGCCGAATACCTCACGGTGCTTCGCGCTTGGTGATATAATGTCATAGCCTGGTCCGGTGAGAACCCGGCGTGCTCCGTCCCGGCTTTGTAGGGATGCGAGTTCAATGGTCTAACGACTACGGCATGCACGACTACGAGTACACCCCCCCCCCCATAGCCACAACCGCAGTACGCCGCGAAAAAAAACGCAGTAAACCGCGGTAAAAACCGCAGGTAAGGAACGGTTTTGTCGTGCAGACACACACCAGGAACATTAAACGTTGACTATTGTTTTTGGGCCAGCACGCACGTGTCCCCACACCACACCACACACTACACACCGCCACGGCTGCGATACGCTCCGTGCACAACTCCGCCCATCTCTGATGGAGTCACCCCCCGACGATGGCGACCAGCCTCTTGCAGAGGTGGTCACCACGCGTCCATCTCCTTCTCCCGGCGGTTCTACCACTGCTCTGCTGGTGCTGCTGATGCCGCGCAAGCTGGGGGCACCCCGAAGACAGTTCGCAGCGTGCAACGCACCGCCGTCAACGCATTCATTCGCGGGTTGTAGCCCGTGGCGAGCATGAGCCGCATGCCTGGTGGTGCTGCCAGATTTTTTCTTCATTTTTTCTAGCATGTTCACATATTCGCATATATATTCCAACAACAGTAGTAGTAGTAGTAGTAGTAGAAGCAAGTGAGGAATGTAGCTCGTGTTGTAGGAGCGTATGGTGACTGGGAAAATAAAGTAAATGATCAGTAGCTTCTCCTTTGTCTGAGGTTTTCGGGTTTTCTGACCGCAAGTCGCGGGATTTGTCGTGTCGGCCTCATTTCAATGGACTAAATAAACCTAACGTATTCCACGAAAAAACAAAATCATGGAGACCCCGTCATTTTGTCACGGACAACCGTAGTATTCTCCGCGATGTTCTTTGACGGTGCACCGCCGTCAAGGCCACGGTTCGCGCGGTTTTGTCACGGGGCAGCAAAAACAGCACCGTCAAAAAAAATGTGCGACGGTGAACCGCACCGCACCGCACCGTCCAATTTCGACATGAAAAAAAACGCACCGCACCGCACCATCGAATTTCGAGATGGTAAAAATCGCACCGCACCGCACCGTGATATGATAAAACCGCACTGCACCACACGGTCAAATATTGAGATTGAAAAAAAACGCACCGCACCGCACCGTGACCATGTCAAGATACGAAAAACCGCACCGCCGTGCGGTTCCACACCGTGAACACCCCTGGTAAAAACAGCTTCAAAACTCACAACAAGATTTTCACTTTTCCTGGGTGCCGCGTCTTCCATGTTTATGCCTGTACCACGGCACGTGTCACCATTCTCAACCCTGTGTGTGCCACATTATGTCTCTCCCGAATGTCTAACAAAATCCTCGATACAATTTTCTACCATCTCCTAGACGTAACCTTTACTCCTCGGAGCCCCTGTCAAGAGAAAAATAAGGAACTGAACGATAGCTCACACTTCCCCCTTTGCAACATTTCTTGAAATTCGCCCCCCCCCCCCCACGGTCAGTTAACCAAAACAACCTCTCAACCAGATGATGGAGCTCCTCACCGTTTCCTAGCAGAAGACGCTCTCTCCCCTGCGTCCAGGTCTCTCCGGGCCACAAGAACCGCGCCAGGTCGGACGCCGCCGGCTCAAAGTCCGAGGGCGGGTAGTGTTTGATGCCAGAAACCTTACGAAACAACGAAGAAAAAGAACATGCGTCGGTCGTTCGGAGCGGTTCACGTCTTGGTTGCTGGCGGGTAGAACTTGCCAGGCACATTGTCCGCAAGGGGATACTTCATGAAAAAAAAACACGCCCGACAGCAGGCTGTGTTACCAGGGAGTTTGGCTGTTCGCGAGGAGTATTGTTCCACTGTCAGACACCTTATGTTCGCGCATGATAGAGGAGAAGGATTGCGAAGAGATATTAGAAAATCCCCTTCCTTCCAACCACGACAAACTTGATGGTAGATGGGGCGCGACTTCAGACCAATTAATACTCACCCTTATCGGCAAAATTGGCCAACGCGTTTCTAAATAGTTTCGGTTCGCAGCGCCTGCGCGCGTGCACCTACTGTTGTACAAGGGGAAAAGTCTTCGCTCCACACCAGGGCACATATATCCTGTCGAACCCACCACGACAAAACCAACAACGAGTAGGGTCGCCACAAACAACAACGCCGACGACGACGACGACGACCACAACAACGACGACAACAACAAAAACTTGGATTTTCCCTCACCGCTTTGTAGGCGGCTTGCAATGCGGCTTCAGGGGTGCCTAGTCCATTTGTCGTGACGCTAAAGTCCTCCACAAAGTTAGAGAGGTGCGCCCAATCTTGTCCTCCGTGGAACGTCTGGGTCGAGCTGGGGTACAGGGACAAGAGGCGTTTGATTGGGCACGGGGGCGGGGGTCAGAAGGACGGTTGGCCGTAGAAAGCAGACAGACCAATGCAAGTCCACGAACGCGCCAAGCGATGCAAGGGTTACCCCAAGTGCTGCGCGGAAGAAACGGTGACGCTTGCCCTGATTGCCCTGAACCAGAATTGAGCTGACACCGCAAAGCAGAGTAAATAGCAGAAGAAAACGCGGCACAAGTTTCGTCTTTTTGACAGCGCTTCACGGACAACCACGAGCGCGGCCACAATAAAGTTCAATACGAACATACGAAATACGAACCAACATGTACGTGAAGACACTTCCAATGAGCGAGGTGAATGAATGGCATCCAGGAGAGAAACAAGATCAAACATCCATGTTAGGTATCACAAATTGCTAACCACAAGACAAACGAAAAAATCAAACGAACATGTCTACAAGGAGACAAGTTGCAGGAGCGCAGCAAGCGCATCACACATCAGCTCTCTGCGTGAATACCACCTTAGCGAGCCATGGTCGAACACGTCCCTCGGTACCCCTGCAATGGCAAGGATGACAACATCCGGTACCACTCAGTTTGTACCCTATTTTTTTATGTTTCCCCGCGGCGTCATATGTGCCGAGTATAGAGCTATTGTGAGACACAACAGCAACACAACAACTCAAACCAACACCACAAGATAGGAGGAGGTTCCCGGCATCGGCTGAATTTGTACTCCGTGTATTAGGTGGCGGGATAGAATGACCCACAGCCAAAGGTCTACACAATACACGAGTGGGAATACCTCCCTCAGCACCAATATCTCACACATCAAAACACTCGAAAAACCAGCTGTAGAAATTCTCCCATAATCGCTGACGCGCTCGAATCAAAACAATTGACAAATTCACACGCGCGTCCTGCGGGAACCGAATTTGACAGCGGGAACCGAATTTGACAGCGGGAACCGATTCAGCTGTGAGTTTCGGGGGGGTTGTCAACCCCATGCTTGGTCACTTCCTACACCCCAACACGCGGTCAACCCTTCCAACGATCGTCGCAGCAAGTGCCCTATCTACAGTTTGGACGATCCAGTTCAATCCTTTAGGAGTCATGGGGTAACATCCGAACGGTTTCGTTTCTGGCTATGCGTTTGGTAGAGGTAGAAAACTTTTGTGTGCTTGTCTCCGTGCGACGGACAAATAAGGCTTTGGGTAACATCCACACTCCTTGGTAGCCTCCACGATGAGAGATACACCACCCCGTCTACATAACCCCTTGGGGACCAACCAACATAATGACCTGAGGTTGGGGGGGGTGTACCAGCCCCCTCCCCCGCCCACAATTATTTCCGATCTCCAAAAACCGCAGAGTACCAATAACCATGGAGGGCGAGTGACGTGTTTCTTGTTCCAAGAATCGTTCGACATTTCGGGAGGCGGCGGCAGGGCGGAAAGAAAACGCTTCTTCGACGAATTTGTTTCGACACGCATCTTCCGTAGTTTTCTGTGTGTGACGACGTATGGCACTTTACCACAGAGAAAGAAGAAAGGCATGTTCGTTCAACGCCAACATCCATCGCATCCGAATACAAATACCCACTGGCTGGAGGCGTACAAGGTCAGCATCGGACAGATGGCACACGTCCCATAGACCGACTTGTCACAGCTATTAATAGATTACTCCGAAATGAAGTGACTGCGAAAAACGACCGATGGTCGAAGGTGTTAGATAAAGACTTATCCACTATGCTACTCAGTGAGCGCTCACTGAGTAGCATAGTGGATGAGTCTTTATCTAACAAAGATACACGCACGGCCAACACCCTGTACGAGATGAGTCACAAAAGGACCTTCTTCGTCATTGGGAACATCCAGGCTGTGGAGCACTCGAGCTTTGAAAATCGACCACTCCGATATTGCGTCTTGGAATGCACAGCACCGCGAAGCCAACAAAACAAAACAACAAAATGGGACATTTTTCGGATCAACTCGCCACACCTGCCAAGTAGACGTTGCAGCTCCAGCCTGGAGAGCTTCAATAATGCGTGTAATCGTGACAAATGGTGGAACATTAGGTTTTCGGTGCAGGTGGGTAAGAGGCAGTAGAAGAGTGGCTCACCTGTCCCATGTGCCCTGATTCTCTTGGGTCATACCCGCGCTGGCACTAGGGTTTACCGGGGCATCGGCCTTGCCAATTTTCTCCATGTCTTAACCTGCTCTGTGCACGTCGCTCCAGCTGCTGTAGTTTTAGTGACCGCTGGTGTCATCAGGAAACACACACAAGGGGACGAGTGTTTGTGGTGTCAGCGAACGCTTTGTGGTCAACAATAACGCAGCGTGTATTCACGACAGGAACACCTTGAGAGGAGCAAGTGAAAACGCGGGCCTCCTTCATGTCTCGAGCGTAACCGTGACAACGGTAGAGTGGATCTTGTCGCTTTGCCTGTCGCAGGAACTGGTTTCACCCATGGGCATGGGACAGATCACATCCTACTTATCGAGCAAGCAATTTGACGGAATGTCCTTGTGATCGGTAGGACATGGTTCTCTGTGCATGTTCGCTCCGTGGCGATCGATAGGACAGAACTAGATAGCTCGTGATCTGTCTGACGTGCCAACCGATTGCCACAGGAGCGCGTCCTGTGCACACTTCGTTTGCATCCTGGTTTGAATGAACACACCTCTGGATGATGTAAGGTCAGCGACCATCGAAAGGGCCGTTATTAACGCAGAACCAAATATCAAATGTAAAAAAGAAAAAATGAAAATCGAGGACACAACTCATACCTCCTGACGACACCCTTTGATATTCAGCAAATTCTTCCCTCTGGAAAGACGTCCCCGAGGTACATTTCAGATCAAAATCAAAATCGAAGTCAGCTGCGGAGCTGCGGGGAAAGCGGGGTGGCGTTGTTCGAACATCTGACGCGGGGCCGCTGCAAATCAGGTCACGACACGACCTGTTATATACTTCTCACAGAAAGGCTATCGGCACCGTACCGCCGTGACCATGGCCATTCCTTGTAGCCACAAGACTCTGCTCACCGGCAAGCCCAAAACCGGGCCGCCTCCTTCGGTGCTTGATGACAAAATGCCAATCGTCACACGTGATGACGAGAATGACGATCAAGATAGGGCTGACGGGTTGTTGGAGGGGATTCTTGTAACCTTTCTTGTCGGCACTCACCATACCCCAAGGCACCAAACCTTGTAAAGGAAATACGCTGGGTAAAGCTGCCCCCCTCGTACTTGTTATTGCTGTTGCTCCCTCCTTCGTAAAGTTATCGCTGGAAAAACAAATTGTGGGCAGGCAATCCCCGCGAATCTCACCCAACTGCTCTCTCACGTTAATATTTTTGAGTCAACCGAAGTTTGTTCCGATATGCACGATACAGTCCCCACATCAGACCTCGGGCATGAAAGATGGAGCGGAGAGCTGCCTCCCGTGGAGTGTCATTGCTATTGCTGTTGCTTCCTCCTTCAAAAAGTTATCGGTGAGAAACCAAACCGGTGGCAGTCTAAGAATAGTGCTCACGAATGGTCGAACGCACAGGTGGACGGTCGGAATACAATTTTTCGGAATATTCCTTGGGCAGGTGCAATTCGAGCACGGCAACCTAGCCCTTACCCATCTTGCGCCGCGGCTTAGTCTTACACGTAGAGCAACCTAGCATTTCACCTGTCCCGCCATGGGTTTAACCTCTACAGCATTCTAGCGTTTCACAGTTCAGCAACCTAGCGCTAACCGTTCACAGCGACTTACCTGTTGTCTCTCTTGTGCCGCGGCTTGCTTCTGACGCGTCCTGGGCATACTACGAACAATGACCTAGCGCTAACCAGTGAATGGCTTTGGGTTACGGTCAGGGATAGGTCTATGTCCTAGGTTTGGAGCGGTGCAAAAAATGTGTACGGCAGGCCGGGCGAACCAACCACTCTCGAGCCGTTTTACTTCTTGGGGGCAACACAAACTTTGTGTTCGGGTGTATTCAGCATCTCACGCGCCAAACCTTGGGATAGTTTAACAGCGCGTGGCATCAGCTCCTTCCGGATACCATTCTTGAGGCAACTCGTTCCTTTATTCGGCGAGACATCTGTCAACACGTGGACAAAAAAGAGCGCAAAACTACTCTAGAAAAACACCGCTTGCTGCTGACTCTTCCCCTGGCGACAGGTCTGTTATTTATTGTTCTTAATACATTTGTACAAGGATAACACAACGAATCCATCTCTATCCGCAGATAAGAGTCCAGGATACATTAGCAATGAATCCTTAGCGTCAGCTGGGGCTACCTGTGTTTCTACGATTCCCCGGACAGCGCATAGCCATGCCTCCCCTGTGGGTAACAGGCTCTACAAGGCTGTTTTTGATTCCTTGCCCAACCCGTGTTCTACAAATATCCCGGTAACATTGTCGGCCCCAATTTTTCAGTTTTCCGGCGTTAATACAGGGCCTCAATACTGCACGCAACATGCCAGAGGAAGGGTACGGTAGTATAATCTTCCAACATGTAGATGACCAATCGCCGCCAGTTTCGGCTGCTACTGTATGTAGGTGGTATGCCCTGCGGCAAGAGAAACCAGCGGAGATTGACCCTTCCTTATGACTGGAACAAATAAAGGCGCAACATGTAAAACCGCGCTCCGGTGTGTGTCAAAGTGTCGAACTCAAGCGTTCCCCAGGCATAGCAGGGGGGGGGTAGTAGGCCTCTCGGGAATGGAAACGATCATTCTGGTTGAGGAACGTTGTTGGGGAATCAACGATTCAAACAGGATACGAGAAGTGGGGCAAAAAGCCTGGAGGAAGAGAGCGAAAGATTGTGGATACACCAGCTGCCGTGACGCGGCCGTTCCTCGCTTCTTCACCGATGCGTTGACTTTTTTGTGCACGCACTGCAGCAGGATGTGTACATCGTTTTGGGTCCATACCCCTTGTAAGGTCTGGCGACACCGACTGACCGAGGTAAACCCTGCTGCTTCATCGTGAGTCGCTCCCAAGCGGGGACGGAGAGAGAGATACTGGTCCGCATCATCTGCTCTGTGGGGTATCAGATATCAGACATGATACGTATTTTGAACCGTTTGGTCTCTCCGCGTTGGCTGCTTTGGTTGGGCGACATGTTCCATGTTCCCTCGAAGGCGTCAAAACAGTAACACCAACACAAGGAGAATCGACACGACGCGGCGGGCATGCCACATGAACGTCATGTACAGCGTAATACGTACGAACATCAACAGCAGGATGTACGTGTGGCTCGATGGAGTGCAACGAGGGCATACGTGAGCACGTGAGCGCAAATGTGTTCCTGCACACGCACGTAGCGAGGACGCCAATGTCAACAATCAAGCCCGTACACCCTCATCGCCAATCCATTCCTTCTCACCTAGAGTCTGAATGGTGTACAAAGTCTTGTGATGAGCGTATCCCTGCGTGCGTGTCCAGACTGACAACGATTGAGGCTCCGAGGCAGCAACCAAACTTGCAGGAACCAGAGGGGGGCCGCGTGACGAGAACAACCAATCCACGAAAGCAACCAGAACCTCTTGAAAACCCCATGGCGATCTGCGCATCCCCCCGCCAGCAAAGCTTTTTTCTGCATGCTCCGGCTGTCACAACCCAGCCCCCCTGCCCGCCCGTGAGCGCGAGAGTCCCCTCGAAAGCATTGTGCCCATTCGTATTCGTGGTGAGATTTCCTCTTGTGGATACAAGGAGCTCCGCGTTGCGCGAAAATCGTGGCGCTTGAATCGTCTACACAATAAACACCCTCTGCTGTTGCGGTTGTGGGTTCAAGCTCCAAGAGGAGAGACGCCGCGACGCTGGCAAGGTTCGTGCGTTTCCACACGGAGGAGAGACAAGGCAAAATGCGTGTGCAACTGGTAACCACCGCGATGGTCTTGCGCCTGGCGACGCGCAGCTTCGGCTTCTCGCCAGCCTCGTCTGGCGGAATTGCAGCACAAGTGTCGTCCCGACGTGCTGCTGCGCGATCACACGGCCGACACACGCGACCAACGGCGGCAGCGTTCACCTCAGGGCCTTCGGCGGCAGCAGCGCGACCAACGGGCAGCAGGCCGCCTACGACCGCCAGGAAGATGGTGCTTCGGCCCGACTGGGAGAGGGAAGGGAGGGTTTACGGCCTGAGGATGCCTAGGGAGAGGACTGCCGAGAGAGCCTTCGAGTACCTGGTGGACTACCCTTGCGAATTCGAAATCAAGGTCATCGGGATCAACGAGGGCAGCTTCGCGGATGACATCGCGGCCACAGTCTCCGCCGTTTGCGAGGTGAGTTGTGATGAATCATTCCTGCGTTTCGCAGTGGCGCCGACGAGCTGCAACCTAGCGGTGTATGGTCACGCATCTACAAGATTTCTACCGTGGTTGAACTACAATTGTCTTGTGTTTCGTCTGGCGTCGTCGGACATCCTGCAGGTGTGCCATCCGGGAATATTTTTGTTCGTGCTGAGTGCAACAGCAGCGCACATGTATCGGCTACAGTACGGGACCCCCTCTTACCATTTTCTCGCTCAAGAACACCGTAACCCTCTCTTACGCTTCAGGCCAGTTGTTGCGGCATGACTTTCCCATGGAGTACGGTAGAATCTAGGGGTGCCGTGGGACGTGTCGTACCCCCCCCCTCCGAAAGGGTGCAGTAAGGTCCGTGACAGGCGGTTGAGATCCAGATTTGCTCACGTTGGCACGCGGCGCTCGCCTCATACAGACTTACTACTGTACCTGTTTGCATTTCAAAGCCTTCGAGACTGTACGCTCCGCTGCTATGAGCTTCTCGGTACCAAGTTATGTAGGGTGCTCTGGTAAGGAGGTCTGTGTGCGTCACGCCTGGTTGTATTATTATTGTAGGGATTCTAGAAGGGGTTGTTGGGACAAGCTCTTTGGATTTCCTGCTGAATTCCAACTTGGAATTTCCAGTTGGACATTGTGTTATCCGAGGTGTACTCTCCGCACACCTCACGATAGCTCCCCAAAGTTGGCGCCGAGAAGCTCATAGCAGCGGAGCATACAGCCTCGAAGGTTGGATGGCTAGCAGGTATTCGTGAGGCGAGCACCGAATGGCGTATGGGCTGGTGTATTTTGCGACTGTTTTTGGCGGACTCCTGTTGATCTCTACGGAGTTTATAGAAAATCTCACTGCACCCCCTCTGCCTCCGAACCGGAACCACACGTGTCTTGCCCCATTTGCCTCGTAGAAAGCTTGGGGAATAAATTGATAGCCTCGTTCGTACCGTTGCTCATCCACCATCACCACCGTAACTGCAACCTGTATCAGCAGCTTTTCACCTGACGAGCCCACGCTTTTACCCCTTCTCCATGTTGCCCTGGCCGACGAAAAAACCGCATCGCAGGTGGAAACCTCCGATGTACGGTTCACCGTTCGAGATACCACGAGTGGGCGCTACCAGAGCATTACGGTGCACGCGCCAGTAAAGAACGCGACCATGCTGTACAAGTGCTACGAGCTCATCGACGAGGTAAAGCGAAGCATTTGTTTTTTTTTCGTGGTCCATGGATCTGTGATTTGAGGTGGTATTCCTCACGCCGAAAAAGCGTATTTTTCACAATCGGTCGAAGTCTTCGTTGTTTAGGACAGCTCAGCTCGGAAATATGCCGTCACTTTCTTGGACCAATCTTTCCTTCCGTCACCAGCGTGTAAACCAATTCGGAAAAGGTGCGCGGTAGTTGGAAGAGACCGGACTCTACGCAAGAAACGAAAAAACCCGCATCTTTGACTGTTCGTGCTGCTGCTGTAGACGACTGTTGCGTAGAACGCGAGAAAACACCAATCCAACCTGTCAGTCTATCGTTTTCTGTGTGCTTATTTTCATAACGTCGGTTGACGAGAGGGTCCCACACGATCAACACGATCCGCTCGTTAGGGTCAGGTTCTGCAGCAAAGCTTTTGCAAATACGTAAATACCCCCCCCGAGACTACTTCCGAACGAATTGCTCTGTCCAGCCGACTCTCTTTCAAGCATGCACTCACACACCCTCCCCATCTGTCCCCCGGCTGTTTTTGTTTGCGCGCACGGCAGGACCCCCGTGTGAAGTTCAAGTTCTGAACCGGGTTCTGAATCGTCGGGCGAATGAAGGGCGACCGACGGTTATCACCCTCGTCTTTACCCGTGGATGATTTCAACGCACAACCCCCCACCCGCTCCCGCTGCTGTGGCGGCGTTGGTTCGGTTGACGGCTGCGTTTGTGGGGCGAGTCTGTCGTGTTGTCGTGTTAGACTGGAAAAAGAAGGGGGGTTTCTTTGGTTCAGTCCTCTCGACACACACCTTCACGCACGCTGCTGGTAACGGTGGCACGAAAGCCATCTCGGAACACGGCGGGCATTTGGTGGTCGGGTGGGGGTGGGGGTGGGGGTGGGGGGGACGTCTTGATTGGAAACTGACGTCCTTCGGGCACGCACCTTTCTGGCACTGTCTTCTCTTCTCGAGCCGTGATGTTGGGCTGCGATGCCATCGTCGGCGGTGCGGAGGGCGTGACGCCATCGGTCTGGCCTTTTGGGTTGGATGACGCCGGCGAGCTTCGGGAGACCGCTGTGGATTTGACCCATCGGGAATGGCTTGTCCGTTGGGGTCTACCGCTGTATATATTTGGCCCTGTTGTAAGCACTGTTGTTGCCAGCCGGGGGCACGTTGTTTCGGTGCGGTTGGTGACGGGGCTGTGCGTACGGGGGGTTGACCATGTGGGGGCAATGAAACAAATCCCGTTGGAGAGAATGTGTGACACACTATTCTATTATTGAGATGATTGTGGGCGTAGTGCACGTGCTGCAGTGGGAGGGTGACGGAAGTCACGGCGTTGGAGGGAGCACAGCGTGCGTCTGGGAATATTTTGGTCTGCTGCAAAGTATCAAGGGGGTGTATACGTATAGTTTTGTGGAACTCGGCGGGGGGGAATAGAGATTTTGCAGGCGGTTTGGCGAGAGAGATCGTTTTGATTTGATTCCGGGGACGCGGAGCTGCACTTCACTGTTTATGCAAAGCAGCAAATATCCTTTGCCACGACACACGTGTTGGATAATATTTTCTTTCCAAGCATGCTTTGGCTCGCTGCAACTATAATACAATGGGCGGAACGCTAGTGGTTGTACCACGGCTCGACTTCAAGTCACGTCGAAGTCGTCGAACGTACACGTATGTGTCTTTGATCTCATACATACTAGTGTCTGGAGTGTTGTTTGTTTCCTTTCGTTGTCATTCGCCTGCCCCTTACCTGCGTTGTTCCCCCTACGAAAGAGGCGAGATACGATGGCTGAATACGAGTACGAGTACGAGGATCAGTGGTTTGGTGCCAACGGTAAATCCCTCGTCCCGGAGAAGGTTGTTCTGACGTTTCATGTGTTGGTCGTCGCCTTCCCTGAACTACAGCTGTTGTACATAATGTGTATGTCTGCTTGCATTGTTTTTGTTCGCGCTTGGCGACGAGAGTGATAGGCGCCATCCGCAGATAGATGTGAGCTAACGATTTTCTTGTTCCGAGGAAAGCGCCTTCTCCAGTGGCAAAAGGTTCCGGAACTCTGCTTCCAGCGACTGCTGTAAGGAAGTTGTCTCGCGTTGTCGGGCCGCACCCAGTCGAGTTGATGACCACCCTGCAACGACGGCACCGTTGTCGTCGTTGTTTATTTTTGCACAAGCATGCTCTCCGTAAATCAATCGAGCTCGGATAATAATACTTTGGTGGTAGCTACCTAGGTGTTGGTGGTGTGCGTGGCCGCTGAGACAAGCTGGCGAATTACTTTACTGGGTCCTGGGTGGTTAAGGGCTGCATATTGAGCAAAGTCCACAGGAGGAGCACCGTGAAGGTCCCCGGTCCCGGAGAAAAATATATATGTATGCATACCGACACTACCTATCGTATTGCTCACGGGAAAAGACTGTGGACTTGGTGTGAGTCACCAGGTGAAGGCAAGCGATGGGTGGATGGGTATGGATGGGTAGTACGTGCTCACTCCTTTGTGTTGCCTGCTACCTTCTCCGTGGCCCTTCCCTGGTTCGTCGGCATTCAGTACCCCGAAAGAGAGGTGGAGTCTGGTCTTCAGAGCGGATTGGGTGTCATCTGTAACGGCAGGGCATGTTAACCGGAAGTTCAAGCGTTACGGGAGGGTGCTTGCCGAATCTGACGGAGGGCACGGACGCTCTTTCGCAAAATATCATTTTCTCAAATGATCAAAGGAGGGCGGACCTCGGATTGGAGGCAGCCCTGCATGAGCAGGGCAATTTATAGCAAATTATCGTTTAATTGCCCCAGTATAGTCTTGTTCGGTGTTCGTGGATGGTTGTGTACGCGGTGCACACCCTTCTGATCTGATCTCTGCGTACAAGCCTTGCAACTTGTAACACCCAACTCAACTGAAGCGACATCTGAATCTTCCGTCGCCACACAGGCTACAATAACTCCGCGAAAAAGATGCTGACATCTGGCACACACTTGTCTATCCATGCAGAGACAAAGCGCGCGAAAAACGGTTGGGTTAGCAACAGAAGGGTAAACCAAGACATGTGCATGTGTCATCGTGTTAAATTTTGCTTCATTCCATTGAAAAACAAAGCGAAACTGCGACTGTTACTCATCTACCAGAAAACACCATGCGGCTAGTACCACACAAGTAGTATTAACCTGTAGAATATTTTCCTCCTCTATGACCCCCCCCCCCCCCCCCGGTCCAATCAGAAGCAAAATCCCTGACTCTCTGCAGATGGGGTAACGCCCTGCGTCCCCCAAACAAAAAAATTTGAAACGTAACCCCCCCAAGATGAATTGGGGGGACACCCCTGCTACCCCGATTCGTTGCTCCTACCCTGTTTTGTACCGAAAGTGTACTGTTGTTACAGTTTGCACCGGTGGCGTGAAGTTCGCAAGGGAAGCTCGCTCTCCTACTTAACCTACTTAAACGCCTGCTCCTCCTGCACCGTGTGACGGATATACTTTTATATCGTAATGCCGTCTCCATTCACGCCATATATACACAGGCCTGATTTGAAGGGCGAAATATTACTATTCTCCCGCCCATCCACATGAAACGAGTTGGCGTTCTGCACCATGATTTCACAACCTGCGCAAAATTAGGTTTGGACGTAAACGGCACGCAAACGCGGAAAAACCGAGAGAAAAGAGCAAACACCTCTAACTACTGTAGCTCGGCGCCTTTGTTTTGCTGCGTCCCCTTTATTTTAGTCTGCGAGAAATCTCCGCCCGCCCCACATCCTCACCTAGCAAAAAACTCGCAACTCGCAAACCCACACAACAGCAGCGATATTGGCGTGCAGGATCGCTGCAACCAAGTGTTGGAACCAGAAGCGACTCCCAAAGGATCAATTCTGCAGCCCAAACGGATAGTTTAGTCTCTTTTCCCTCCAACGCACAGATGCACGGGATAGCAAAGCGAAAAGCGTGATGTCGGGCGAACAACAAAAACGAGTGCTTGTCACTGCCCACACGTCGCGATTGCGACCTAGTGCGTGGCGGTTTGTCGCCCAAAACGCGAGGAATTCTCCGCACGTCACAACACCACAACGTATATCG